GGGACAAGAAGGAACACAGACAGATGAACAGGACAGAAAGAAGTCAGAAAAAATTCACAAAATCTTCAAGTTGAGACTAGAGGTCATTCATCTAAACTCCCAGGCAAGCCGGAACACTTCCAGGTACAGGAGTACTTTCTTATTTTGCAAGGTGGCCCATTCTCTTTTAAGAGAACACTAACTTGCTAGAAAATTCTTCCTTGACATAATGCATCTCTGAAACATTCATGGCAGAGAATAAAAATCATATATTATGCTGTTAAATACATATTTGGATAAGAGATGTGCTAATCAAATTTTACAGTTTCCCTGTAAAATCTGTTTCTAGCCAGGCCTCAAAATCATTACTTTTCCTTAAGAACTAAGGTTATAAATTATGAAAAGCTTAAACCAAATGAAAATCTCAAACAACACCAGGATTTCAGATGAGAAATGAAACAAAACAAAACTTAAAATGAATTAACTTTTGAAATTATTCCTATAAGACTATTTGTCATTAAATACTACTGAACAGAATTCAAACTATGAAATGCCATTATCTTACATTCAGTGTTTAGATGGTTCAATTTAAATATATATTAAACACCAATTAAGACCCTGACACTGTCCCAGGTACCAGGGATCCAAAGAGAATAAAAATACAGCCTTTGCCTTCAAAAATACATTCCTATAGTGTATTCCACTACAAATACTAATCATGTAAACAAAGAATTACAAATTACAAATCACCAATTCTTTACACCGTATGATTAAAGCTCCCCTGGGAAGGATGGGGACTGTCAATGGAAGTTTCCTGAAAGAAGTGGTACCTAAACTGGGCTGGGAAAGATAAACAGGAATCTTCCAGGAGGACAAAGTGGGAAGGAGAATTTTGGCAAAAGAAACTTTTGTGCATATGGAAAGCACAAAGATATGAAAATAGGATATTCAGGGGAACACATTACTTGAACATAGAGTTCCACGAAGAAGCAATGGAGATGAAGTCACTAAGATTTCAGCTTGCAAAGGGTCTCCACATCATGCAAATGAACAAGATTTGTGTCTTGCAGCCCCCTGGCAACCTCTGCTGGGTGGCCAGAGAAGCGATGGGCCCGTGTCTCCTTTCAGAGAGATGACATGACACTCAGTGATGGAAGGCACCCACCAACTTTTCATGCATTGCTTCCCCTCCCCATTCACTCACTCAAGTATTCAGCAGTCTACTCTGTACGAGGTCTGAGTCTCAGCAAGGAAGATACAGCAATAAGCAACAAAGATTCTTCCTTCAGAAAGCTTGTACTTTAGTGGGAGACACATTTATAAAGGTCTCAGCTTAAATACCACTTCGGAGACTTCTCTGATCAGAGTGTCTTAAGTAGCTTTTTCCTGACAGTTTTCACTGTTGCGCTCTACCCTATCATGTTCTTTTTCTAAATTTATCACAATTTATACTATTTTATGTATTTACTTATCACGTCTCTCCCTTTACAATGTCTCTCCCTATAAAGTAAGTAAGTAAATTAAGCGGGGAAATGCCTGGATTTATAACTTGGCTTCCCTAAAAAGGTACAGTTTCTGCTTTTTAGATCCTGCTGACTCCCCAGGGCCAACCCCCGCGTGTTGCTCAAGCCTCTGTGCTGACGGGGCCCTCTCCTGAGTTCCAAGTGCCACCTCCCAACTGTGAGGCTTCCTGTAAAGAGCGACCTCGGGCAGCCCCCGGAGCTGACGAAGAATCTTCAGTTCCTGTGCTTGGTGGTCACCATAGCCCAGCTCAGCTGGCCCTTCGTGATTTAATCACGGATCTGGCCAGGACCCACTCAACACCCACTACGTGCTGAGTGGGCGAGGGCCACGGTGGAGAACACGACAGAAGGGAGCTGTGCCCTCAAGCACCCGACAGTTTCACACAGTGACATGAACAAGGAAACGGGCAGCTGCAACACTGGACGAGGGGGCCCAGGATGGGGCAGCAGAACCGCCACAGCGGGGCAGTCAGCTGCACCGACAGGGACAGAGGCGTGAAGGACGGAGGGGATGGAAAGGCTTAAGCCCTGGCCAAATGCTAAACGGGTGCAGTATTGCAAAAATAACCAAAGAAAAAAAATAACATTTATAGGGCACTTAGTATGTGCTAGGCACTTTTAAAGCACTTCACTTATAGCACTAATCACATAGCACTACAAACACTATTAATCAGACACACGTGTTATCAGTTTATTTAACCCCTACAGCGAGCCCACGAGGGACGTGCTGCTACCACCCGCATCTCACGGGGGGCACGAGCACAGACAGCCAAGGCAAGTCTCCAGTGCCACGCAGCCAGTGAGCACAGGGACGAGCTGGACCCAGGCAGTCTGAGGCCGGTCTGAGGGTTAGCCTCTATGCGATGCGGCTTCTCAAAGTATTGCCAATTGTTTTTCTTTCTCTCTTTTTTATTTCCTGTAAAAATAACCATTTACTTTTACACACACTGTTTCCATAAGCCATCAGTACTAGGAATTGATTAAATAAAATTGGTCCTTTTCTACCTAGAGATTAAGATACGGATGGCACTTTGTAACCTAACTTTAAGGGTTGACTAATTATTACCAAATGTTTGAAGAATATATTTGAAGAAGCACTAAGTGTGATTATGGCTTGATCATCCCTTAAAACAAAGCACCCAGTGGGAACAACGGGCACACGACAGCCGGGCACTGCCCACGCCGCCAAGCCTGCACGCAGCGCCCCGCAGGCCACCCGGGAGACCAGCGTGTGTGTCCACGCGCGGGAAGGTTCACAGCAGGCCGATCAGCAGCACCTGAAACTGAAGCTGCCCAAAGGCCCGAGCCCACTGACAGCGGACTCATAAATAAACCGTGTTCCACACCGCAACTGAGTGCCACGCAGAATGAGAGCGAGTGGCCCACAGCAAGGGCGAATCGCGCCCCCGAGGCTGCCCGCACACGCAAGCACACGTCCTGGGCGACCCCTCCCGCAGGGAGCCCAGAGCCAGGCCGGGCGCCGCGGTCAGCGGGCAGGGCGGTGTCGCACGAGCAGGGGCTGCAGGGAGCACGAGGAGGCTCACGGGACACCAGCCATATTCTGCTTCTCGGACGGGATGCTGGTCACTCATATGTGTTTTGTTCGTGAAAATTCATCAAGTGTATATTTATGGTATGTATACTTTTCTGCATATGTGTTCTTCTATAAGAAGTTGAAGGGAAGTTGATAATTTTTAAACATATGCCTATAACTTTTAATGGATTTTGATGAATTTAATATGAAAGGGAATAATCATATTATTATTGTCATCCAGTATCTGAATGCCAACCACATGCCGGGTCATACATTAAAAAAGCTTTACATGAACCTCACTTAATCCTCACAACACCCTACAGAGAAGGGCACTCCTGTCAGCTCCAGTTTCCAAACAGCAAACGGAGGCTGTGATTCATATGTGTCAGAGCAGAACAGCATGCTCAGGTGACCCTGGCTCTGGAGTACGGCCTCAACCATCTGGCCACAGCAAACTGCAGGTCGGCTGCAACAAGGCAAGAGCGACATACTTCCAAGTGGGACCCTCAGTCAGAAAAAACACTAGCCAGACTAGGTGACACAAGCAACAGTCCAATTTGTTTCCCACAATCAAAACACTTTAGTTGCAGTGTATCTGTTCAGGCCTGAGGAAATATAAACGTTAAGAGGGTTTCTAAAAAGAAACTCTGCTTTCCTAACTCAATTCTGTCCCTTAAGATTTTTCACTGCAGTGATAAAGTACGTCTTTAAGAAAATGTAGCATGGCAGAAAAGTAGCAGTGCAGCCAAGCCTTAGCACCACCGTGGAGCTTTTACTGCACTAGGTCAGGGGCTGTACCTGAGAACAGGCTGATGACTCACATTCACAATGCAGCTGCCAAGAAATTTATGAACAGAAACAAACAGATGCATTATGCAATAAAGTTTTAACAAAGATAACACAGGGAAAATAATTCCATAATTAGTGAAAGCATTTGGTAATTTACCAACATTAAATTTACCTCTTTGGAGGGGGAAGCGGGAGATGTGAAAATTGTCATCCAATAGGACCACACAAACATAACAAAGAACAGATGGAAAGCCACAAGGTAAACAACGGCCTTTCCTGGTAAATAAAAACAAACAACATTTCATTGAATCCAGGTGAAAACAGGAAAAAGCATTACATATTAAAACACAATATTCAGGGTCAGGAGGCTTATTAATCCAATAAAAAATTTAATTAAAACATACTCAAAAACTCAGCTATACACTCCTTTATCTCCATGACATAACATCACAGATATGAAGAAACAGACTACTCCTGCATTTAAGGGTTACCCTCCTGGTTTATAATTAACAACTGTAGTCTGAGATGAGATTTGATTTTATTAAGTTGCTGCAGATTTAGATTCAAACACCTCCTTCAAAACCACGTCCCAAAAGTTAGATTTTAAATGATTTAAACATTATTTAAGACAGATTCCATCACTATGAACATTACATCCAAGGAACTAAACATGAAAATAAATAACTCAATTCTTGGATTGTTCAGAAAAGGTATCCTAAATTTCACTGTCCTTTTCAATACAGGGTAATAAAAAATTTTAGCTACTTTGAATTTCTGTTGTAACTGTTTCCTAAGTGGATTAGTGTAACATTCCAACACCTGTATCTCCAAATATTAACTCACTATATAACTGAAAGCCTGCTGTGTTCTGTGGTTTTTCTGTCTGTAAGAACTGGGACTGGTTTCCATTGAGAAGCAAGGACTATCTACCAAGTGATTAAAGTCTTCTTCAGCTTGGAATGCAGCACCACAAATGCACTGAAGAAACAAAGCACAGACAAGTACAGGAGCTTCTGAGATTCCACTGATTTTTAAAGCTCAGATCAAATATTCTTTTTTCCACAAAGAATTCATTACCCCTTCATACTGTACTCCCCAAATAATTTGCTCAGACTTCAATGAAAGCACTTAATGTGCTTTCATTAAAGTCAGCTACTTAATGTTGATAAGCTAACAAATGCAAACACTTAGAACAGTGTCTGGCACACAGAAAACCCTCAACAAATGCTGGCTGCTATTACTGCCATCAAGCATATTAATTTCTTCTTCTTGAAATTTGGTTCTTTTTGTGGACTCCCTGTTTCAGTGTTAACCTAAGTTTACGGACGGATAAGAATTTTCACTGGTCTGAATGAAATAAGAAACATTAAGTCAATGTAGTTTTTATAAAACATGTATGCAGTCTGATGTACTAACCTTCCTTTGGTCTGAGGTTATTTTCCCTTATGTTTCTGGTTTTAAAAAAAAGTTCTTAAATAACAGTAAAAATCGATAACTTGTTGGACCCCAGCATTTTCTTTTGCAATTATACTGGTCCACGCCTGGTCTAACAGAACAGAACCCTGAGTCACACACAGGTGACCGACGCAGGAGGCCAGGGCTCAATGGCTCCTCCATCACACTGCTAATCAGCAGAAGGTACAGACTTCAACTTCGAGCTACCAAAATCTCTTTCAAAGTAAAGCCTCCTCATTCTTCTTGCTGCTAGTGCAATGGTTCACAGTTGTTACTTGTCTTATTTGGTTATTGCAAAAGCCAACTGGTGTGTTTGCCTCCAGTCTTTCTTGCTTCCAATCCATCCCAAAGGCCCGTGTATAATGTGTTGCTCAGTGTCCTCCTCCCCTTGGTGGTGACATTCTTGGGAAAGAGCTCCATCTACATGACTAATGGATGCATTCTAAAACTCTGGAACTTCCTAGTAACCACACTTAACAACAGCAACTCAAATCACTACTTCCACCTACTGAAGACCTGCTAGAAGACTTGAAACGTATACCTTATTTCTAACCCTCACAATCATCTCATAGCTATTCTTTCAGTTTACAAATGTAAAAATGAAGGCTCAGAGAGCTTTAATATATTGCCCAGTGTGGCCGAATTACTAAATGATAAAAAGCCAAAATTCAAACCCGTATCTGCTTGATAAAAATCCAAAGTCCTTTTCACTATGTCATACCTAAAATTATTTCCCTCCACTCTTTTAATGATCATCTTGGTGGTCACATCCTACTTCAAAGATAACATCTGATGCCAAGATAAAGTGCTAACCACACCTACTTTCCATTTTCACTTTCACCAAAATCGACTGCCATCCTCACTGAAAATTCTGATTTCCCTGAATCATTTCAGCTCCCTCCAGGTTGAACCCGTGGTCTAACCAATGGATTCAGATTCATTCCTTCATTTGTCCTTCCTTTGGAAAAACACACTAGAGCTCAGTTTCCTGTGTTTATACCAACACGAAGGCCACTTATCAAGCCTGCAGTGTTACCTGCAGTGTTACCTGGCTCACTTCACTTACGCTGCCTGGCCCCCATATTCCATCAAGTTCGTCAATTCTCATCTACATATCACTGTACAGTTTTGAGATAAATGGCAACCTTGAGGTTACTTTAAACTTCCTAATCATTTAGTTACTTATAACTAAGGCTAGAATATAAAACAATAAACTCTTAAAATATTTTTTAACATTTAATGTATTTTTAGAATATTTCTGCTCACCATACAAAAACAAAATGGTTTTTGCCTTAAAAAACTTTAACCTTTAGTTAAAGAAAGAAAAGTCTCTTAGTATATTGCCTGCAATATATAGTGAGGACTTGACAGATAATTATCAACTTACAATGTAAAGAGTAACAGGAAATACTGTTTTCCAGTAAGTCCAAATTAGTGTGATTGCTAATAATCACACATGACATGCTATAAACTGTTGGTTAGAAGTAATACTTACAGTAAAACCATAACTGAGCAAATTCAATCAAAGCTGAAAAAAATCTGGACCTATAAATAAAAAAGGCTGATTCAAAAATCACCTGTCACTCGGGGGGAAGGGTGTAGCTCAGTGGTAGGGTGTATGCGTAGCATGCAACGACGTCCTAGGTTCAGTCCCCAGTACCGCCATTAAAAAAAAAAGTTAAAATAAACCTAATTACCCCCCCAAAACAAAAACAGCTTAAATAAATAAATACTTTTTAAAAATGACATAACATTGTAAACTAACTATACTTCAATTAAAAAAAAAGAATGAAAAAAAATCGCCTGTAACTGAATTAAAAAAGAAACAAATGAGCAAACAAAAGACTTCACCAAAAGACTCTTCAAAAAACATGGGAAGAACAGTCACAGGAAATAATAATCCAAGTTTAAAATTCTCTTATAAGAACTGCAGAAATTGTTTTCTGTATCTCTGCTTTCAACATATAGGAGACAGTTTAGACATTAAAGAAGAAAAACAAGCCTACCAAGACGAGTCTATATGTATTGTGTTAATGAGAAATTAGATCCAAAGTCAGCTTGAAATTTACATGCTTAATGTCTATATTTATTTCCAATAGTCAGAATATTTATTCATAATTTCTAACTGTTCAACTGTTTTAGAAATCTCTAGATTTTCATATTCCAAATCAAATTTTATTTTTAAAATTTGATCTCAAAGAACTTAACGTTTTCTTTTATCTCAGGAAAATTCTGAGCAATGATTCTTCACTCTAGACACTGTCTCTTTGATTAGTCATTATAAAAACTTTAATTCCTTTTCAAAATGAACAAGTAATACAATTTACAAGTTCAGAGTCTGGTTATTTAATTAAATGTCTGAGTAGTAAAGTATTGTTTTAATAAATGCATAAACAAGAGAATCGTCAATAAAATTCAGACCTCCTCCTCAAAACCAAGCTAGAGCTGATATTAAAAAAATCTTTCAACTACTACTATAAAGAGCAGATTACATGGCAGAAATATGTATATAAAAATATCAAGGAAGTTTGGGTACTAAATGCCTTACAAAATAACAGCAACTTCAATTATAGAAATAACACAAATGAGAATATACTGAATATACAGAAATAAAACCCAATAATGCATCTCCTTTTAATTACTTAAACTTCAAGAATACGTATTTTCTTTCTGAAATCAAAAAACACATGCAGTCATTACTAAACAGAAAGTATACAGGTTGCGATGAAAATATCTTAATTAGTCTACTTAAATTGAGACTCAAAGTGCCTTACCGTTTTCTCCATTCCCAGAGAGTGTAACTAGAACAGAAGAAAAAATAGTAAATATACTTTAAAGATCTGTATATAAACTTTAAGGTTGACTCTTCATCTTAATATCATCTTCATAAAAATAAAACTTAGTTTTAAAATGTAAACACAAGCGCAAATTCAGAACTGCAAACTCAAAAAATCCTGGAAACACTAAAACTCAAATTCTTCTTTATCATTAACACTGCAATCACATTACTGTTTTTTTTTCAGGCCTTTGTTAATTTTAAGTGTAGCAATGAGGTTCTAGTTGTGATGTCTTCTTCAGCTGTTTTAATGCCACCTGCAGAATGAATGGAACTCTCTTCTAAGTCAGTCGCAAACAGTCTGTGAGGTCCCTCGCCAAACTTTCTGTGAAAGCCACACTCAAGACGAATTATTTTCCTATGGAAAAAGCAGAGGAAGTCATCCCTGTGATTTCCAAAGCGCTTCTCCTTCCTGGTCTGAACCCCTGGGAATTGCTATTTACTCCTCTCTGGACAGCCCAATGGCCTCTGGGTCCTGCTGATTCCACTGCCTAAGTCTCTTCAAACCTGTCACTTCCTCTCAGTTTCTCCCACTGCCTCGTATCAGGCCCTTCTCAAATGAGACAGCTTACAGCCACTCTACTATCAGTTTAACGCCCTCACCACCAGCAAATGTGGGTACCGAATACTCTTCAACACCTCCCAGTCACTTACAGGAAGAAGTCCAAAACCTCCAGAGGGGCCAACACAACAGGCCTTCTGCGATCCACCACCTGCCCGCCACTCTAGCCTCTTCTGTGACTTGTCCCTACCCACGGTCTCCGTACCCTGGAAAACTGCAGTTCCCTGAACACACCAGGCAGCTCCTCATACGTTGTGTGCCTCCCCTGTGCACCTTCCAAGGCCCAGGCTGCACACCACCTCCTGAGTAGAGCCTTCCTACTTGCCTCTTTATCACCCTCCTCTGTATCACCACAGCTCACTCTTCCAGCTCCACCATACCACCTCACCTTTTACAATTACTTGGTTTTTTGTTTTGTTTTTTTTTTTGCGGGGGGATTAGGTTTGTTTATTTATTTATTTATTTAATGGAGGTACTGGGGATTGAACTCAGGACCTCACGCATGCTGATCACAGGATCTACCACCAAGCTATACCATCTCCCCCCTGCAATTACTTGTTGATAGGGTTGTCTCACCTGCTGGACTGCCTAAGTGTGCAATCACGTCTTAGAACAATAACAACCCTCCAAGTTACCATTAGTTCCATTTTACAGATAAATAAATTAAGACCCAAAATAACTAAATGACTTGCCTGAGGTCACAGAGCTAGTGCATGCAGTGTAGACCAGATTTGATTTCAAGTCTACTTGGACTTGTACTCTTTCCTGCAGTGTCTCTCATCTTATTCAGTGTTTTAGCTCCAAAGTATGGCATACAGCCGCAATGCTTACTAACTCAATAACCATTTCTAACTAAAATATCTTGATAAAGTAGGAGTACCTGGATACTTCCATAATAAATTAAAATATATCTACCTCAATTGTCAAACCAAAACCAACATAATTTAATGAGAAAACATTACAGACATTCTGACTAAAGTCAGTAACAAGATAAGCAGGTTCATGATCATTTCTTTTTTTTTAATTGTTTTAGAGAAGTGTAGGGCTGTTTTTCAACCCATCTTAGGTCGTTCAGGCAGGATCTGGGGTAATTAAATCCTGGGCTGGTCCCCTCTGGACTCGCAAAGCATTTCTCCTTTATGCTAGTGTACACTAAAAATACAATTTTCAATATGTACCATGGTATGAAATGATTGGGAAGCACTACAACAGCCACCCAATTACAAAAGAGAAAAAAATTAATTGTATAAAAATTGAAAAGAAGACATATGTATCACTATTTGTAGATTATATGACTATATTCCTTCACAGTCAATGAAAACCAACTGGAAAACTATTCTAAATGAGAGGTGGTAGTGTAAAAAACTGATATACAGAAATCAGCAGCTTAAGAAAATACATGTAATCACTATGTGGAAGTTATAATAAAAGAAAGTTTCATTCACAAAGCCACCTAAAAAGATAATGTTCCTAGGAATAACTGTTAAGAACTGTGCAAGATCTATGCAAAAAGAAACATTTTAATGTTTCTGAGGGACATCGATAAAAATATGAACAAATGGAAATGCTTTTACTTTCATATAGAAGAGTCATCATTAAAATGGCAATTCTTCCTAGGTTAGTCTTACAAATTTAGTGTCATCTCTATAAAAATACTGTTATTTTTTAACCAGATGCCAAAGTTCATTTGTGGAAAGATAAACTTGCTTGATGAGGCAGGAAAATTATGAAAGAGAAGAATAACGAGGTGCATGGGTCAGGCCAAATATGAAGGCATAGTATTTAAAAAACACTATAAATTCTCCAAAGCGGGGGAGAGGGAAAAACTAATTCCCCAATTATTAAGACAGCTGTACTGGCTCATGAATAAACAGATCAACGGAACAGGACAGAAAGCTCCAAAACGGACCCAAGTCCATACGGAATTCAGTTTATGACAAACGTGGGGTTCGAATTACTGTGGACAGAGCCCACGAGTAGGGCTGGAGCAGATGGGGAGCCACGTGGGAAGAAAGACACCACTGAGAGTCAACACAGGCCAGGGTGAATTCCTAATGTGTCAAAGATTTTAATGCAAAAAGAAAAACAAAACCATACATGTACTAGATGAAACAAGAGACATTTTAAAACTTTGGAGCACAATCAGTCTCTCAGAGTATGACACAAAACATAGAAGCATACAAGTAAAAGTAAAAACAAATGCTTGGAAAAAAATCACTACAAGCCAATGAAGAATAACAAGAAACTAGGAAAAAAATATTCACAATTCTTACCGTAGACTTAAGAACTAACTTCTCTAATATTTAAAGAGTACCTACAAATCAATACAAGTTTTTTTTTAAACAACCCACTTTTCCACAGAAGAGGAAATACAAACATCTCAAAAAAGATGGTCAACCTCATTCATAAGATAAATCCAAAGTAAAACTACACAACACCATTTTTAATAATAATACTGGTAAAAATCAAAAGTGGATAACAAACTGTGTGACACTTGTCAGAGCAGAGTTCAGATTTAAAATTGCATCCAGCCAACAGTTTCTGGTGGCAGTCTCTTCCAACTTCCCACTAAGACACCATGCAATTACAGGAAACAAAACTGTTCCACGCCAAAAACAAAGTTAGACCGACCAAGAATGCCCAGAACCACTTCTTCACAGAGGGCTTTCCTGACCACAGGAGTGGGTTACGTCAATTTCCTTAGCGTATCTTCCCACAGCACTTTTAATTCCCTTTTCATTACACTCCTGACACTGGTATGGAATTATTACCCCTTTTAAGAGTATGTGAGTATCTTCTTACCCCCGAACTGTTCACCCGCTGGGTTTAGCATCCACTGATAAGCCTTACCTGAATCAACTATTTTGTAGAATTAGAAAATCACCATTAAAAACCACCTATTATTTATTTCCATACTTTTTAGCTGGCATTCTTATGTAAAAAGCTTTCCTTCACTGGAGATGAACTACAGTCACTCTAAGAAGGCAGTACAAAAATATAATTACTGTCTTTTAATTATCCATTTTCAGAATGAGGTAACATTCACTTCCATTGTTAGCAAATAAATTTAGTTTTTCTCTTTTCGCATGTCAATACAGAAACTTGTGGCTTTTATTTATTCAATGTGTCATCACCAATTACACTCAGGTCTTATGATCAAATCGTCTTAACGTGGCTAACGTCCGTTCCGACGGACGCCTGTCGCCTCCTGAGCCATCCCTGAGGGCTGCCACGCTGTGCAGCACAAGATGTCCCAGGCCCACTTCATATTTTCCCTCCCCGAACCTGACATCAGCCATTTGTCCAAGGGGCATTAGTTCTTTTTAATGATATTTGGAAACCAGGTCTGAATACTAGACGTGCACAAAGCTACCTGAGTTTCCTTGCTTTTAGGCCCTTTGGGTTACAGAAGTAGTATTAGACATTTATATTTATATTCATATTGGTATTTCCAATTCAAATGGAGCATTACAGAGTTTTTTTCGTAATTTCTTTGGCACTACATTTGCCTCTCTTTTCTTTTACAGTGAAAAGTTTAGTTTCTAATTATTTACTTATTCAGTTTATCCTAAAATATACATAGTTTGAAAACAGCACACTAAAAAAACAAAAAAGAAAGAAACAAACTGCATACTAGTTTAAGATTTCTCTGCAGTTTTTTTGTTTTGTTTTGTTTTACTGTTTTGGCTTAGACTACATCCAACTAAGGAGTGCTATGTCCAAAAGTCACTTGAAATCATGTTTTCCTGTGTGGTTAGTTACAGTACCCACTTCATATAACATTAAGTTCACTTGTTTCATGATTTCAAATTTTACAGTTTGCTTTTTTACTCCCCCCTCCTTTGTTTTAATTTTTTTTGCATATGTAACAAATATAAATGATTTAAAAGTCAGAACTATATAAAAAAGTACTCAGAAAGGCCTGGCCTGGCTCTCTTCCCCTTTACCCCTTCACCACAGGTAATCATTTTTCATAGGGTCTGTTTCATCCTTCCACTATCTCTTTGAGCAAAATAAGCAAGTAAGTATTTCTAGTATCCTGGTCTACACCTTGCTTTTTCCACTTAGACACCAGAAGTCACTACACATCAGTACATAGAGATAACCACTGCTTTTTAAAGCACTGCATGGTATTCCATTGTATGGTGTTCCAGTTACACAACCAGGCCTCTATTGATAGCCATCTGGATTGTCTCCAGTCTTGCGCTGTTAGAAACAGTGCAGCAAAGAATAACCCTATGCATGTGTTGTTTACTTGTGGAAGTTTATCTTCAGTGTAAATTTCTAACAGTGGGACCATTGGACTGAAAGCAACTCTGTCCGCTTTCCCCAAATCCCTGTTACAGAGGGTGTACCATTTTTATATTCCTGCCAGCAATGCATGAGGCTGTTTGTTTCTCTAC